TTTTTTTGTTTTAAAGGGGGGTAGTAGGAGAGATAAGGGGTGGTATTATTTCACCCCAAGGGTAGCTAGTAGGGAGAGTAGGTCATTATTTACGGCGGGTCCTTCATCCATTAAAGGATGGAAGGAGAAATTTTTTTTCGTAGATGATACGGAGTGGGGAAAAAAGGGATGCCGAGGTGAGGGAGTTAGCCTCCTGGAAGGTCAAAAGGGCCAACCAGAATATGTTTAGCTTAAATGAGGATGAAGAGGAGGAAGTGGGGAGGTTGGTGAGGAAGGGGGGGATTTATTGAATATTTTGGACCTCACCAGCGCGCAATGCATAGAGGCTGCTGAGCTCTATGGGCCAAGCGCTTTAAGTGAAGGTTGGTTTAGTTCTGCATTGTAGTAGTGAATGTAGAGTAATGTAGAGTATAGAACTGTGATTGATATTGTGTATTTTTGCTTTGCAGTTGAAATGGACCAGTTCCTGAACACTGCTGGAGGAGCGGCCATCCCCAAGAAGCCAAGGAAGAAGTCAAAGACTTCAACCAAACAAGTGGATGAGGGGAGGACCAGGAAAGAGGCAGTACTTGCGGCTTCAGCTGAGACGGAGGAGGAGGTGCCACAGCTGAAGAGGAAGGGCTGGGAGGAGAGGAGGGCGCTGCAGAAGAAGCAGAGGGTGGTGGAGGAGGAGACGGGGAATGAGGTCCCTGTGTTCGTACCTCAGCCTTCTCCTGTTGAGCTGGACCCTGAGGTCAGACAGTTGGAGGAGGGGGCTGAGGTACGAGCTCCTGGTAAGGGAAAGGGCCCTATTCCCCCACTGGGGCCTCAGAGCAGCTTGTTCGAGGCGAAGAACATAACGGGGGCCAGGTGGTTCATCAACAACACCTTCCTCGAGATGGACCAAAGCAACGCGCGGGAGGAAGCTCTGAGGTACGGTGGAGCGTCCGTGGTGAAGCATGTTCTAGAGGTAAGTTAAAGCATCCCTCTGTTTAGTTAATCTGTGTCGCCTTCTCTTCGTTCTTTTTTTTTTTTTTTTTAACTTCAGTTTTGATCTGCAGAGTGTGAGTTGGGTGAATGGTCTAGCCTAGGAATTCAAGGAGAGCCTGATGGATCACGCACTCTTGCAGAGGCAGCGGGACCAGCTGCAGAAGGAGAAGGAGGAGTTGGAGAAGAAAAATAAGGAGCTGCAAGATTCTCTGAACGAGGTGGTTCCAACCGTTTCACAGTTGGAGCAGGAGAGGGCTTCCCTGAGCACCAAGCTCACTTTTGAGGAGAGCAAACGAAGGATTGCTGAAAGCGAGCGTGAGGCTCAGGCGCAAGAAATGAAGCTAATGACGGAGGCATTCAAGGAGCTGAAGGGGAACATGTGGAATTTAGTGCATAATGGGATGAAGGAGCACATTAGCAACTTCGTCAGTTCCAGCTCCTTTGATAGCATCGTCAACTTGTACCGGCTGCCCACTACCATCATCGCTTTCACAGACTGCAGAAAGAAGGTGAAGGCTGAATATCCTGAAGTGGATGTGATGAAGATCACCTTTGGCGAGCAAGAAGAAGGAGTGGAGGAGGATGGCGAGAGCATGTCAGCAGACTTCCATCCTCAGATTAAGCTGAGGTGGGAGAATGATGCAGACGGTCTTGCTGTTTTTCCTCCACAGTTCGACTTCGAGTTCGTTGCAGTGGAGGAAGAAGGGGCAGAGGTAGAGGAGGGCGAGATGGAGGCAGGAGTGGAAGGAACTGAAGTGGGTGAGGTCCAACCAGTTCCAGAAGTGGAGATTCATCTAGTTCCTTTTGACGATGAGCAGCCTCCTCTGTCGGATGAGCAGCAGCCAACTCAGCCACCTCCTCCAGCTGAGCAGGAGCTAGTGGAGCCACCTCTCCCATCAGGGAAATAATTTTGTTTTTTGATTTTTTGTAAAGACTATTAAACAGTTTGTAATATTTATGTTGAATGAAAATTCATTTTTGAAATTATGTGTTTATTTATGTTTGCCTGCTTATTATTATATATTGATAGAAGAACTGAGACTACTTGAAAAAAGACAGTTAATAAAAAGAAGTTAATCACTTCAGAAACGAACTACAGAGAAAGAAACCTCTTCAAGTGAGTTAAGAACAAGTATATCACTGTAAATGAATAGACGGGAAATAAAGCACTTCATATGTGAAGTGACATTTATTAATCAGAGGTGAGGTTCAAGAAATGAAAGAACTAATTGACCTCGGGTACATAGAATAAGAAGTAAAATGAATCTCAACAAACACGAAGTGAGAAGTGTAAAGAACAGTAAGACTTAGAACACTTGAAAGAATTTTATTAGGGGTAAAATTTCTTCAAGTTATTGACATTTCAGACTCTAGGAACTCTCTTTCCTTCAGCGTTTTGGAGAATATAGGCACCAGGATGTGGCACTTCGGCCACGGCATAAGGGCCTTCCCAATTTGGGGCAAGTTTGCCAAAACGAGTTTCAAACCCTGTTAGGCCAGCTTTTCTGAGAATGAGGTCTCCTACTTTGAAAGTTCGAGGGCGGACCTGTTTATTGTAGAAGTTGGCTAGCTTCTGCTTGTATACAAGAGTTCGAAGCCGAGCTTCTTCTTTGACTTCGGCAAGCAGATCAAGGTTTTCCTGAAGCCATTGTCCATTTTGCCCTTCATCGAAATGGGTGACCCGGAAGCTTGGGACTCCTATTTCAACAGGAATGACTGCTTCGGTACCAAAGGCCAAGTGGTAGGGTGTTTCACCTAGTTCAGTTGATTATAACTTTAGAATGCGCTTTATGCATTATGCATATTTTCTCTAAGGTTAAGCATAACAGAAAAAGTAAAATAATATAGAAATTACTCAAATAAACTCGGTTTAAAGTAGTACCTGTGGCAGTTCGGCTTGTGGTTCTGTATGCCCAGAGGACGTTGTTGAGCTCGTCTGCCCACTTGGCCTTATGCTGTTCCAATATCGGCTTTATACCTTCTAAAATGCATTTGTTAACAGATTCAACCATGCCATTGGACTCCGGATGATAAACGGAGGTGAACTGTAACTTAATCCCATAACTGGAACAGAAATCTCGGAATGAGGAGTAATTGAATTGAGTTCCATTATCAGCCACAATCTGATTTGGGATCCCATATCTGCTTATGCATGTTTGGCCAGTAATATCCTTGCCTTAAGACTTTGTGAGCCAGAGTCCTAGCACCGACATGGCTCCCACAGACACCTTCATGCACCTCTCGAAGTGCATATTCAGCTTGATAGGGGTTTAAACATCGTAGAAGAGGAAGTGAGAAAGATCTCTTATACAGGACCCCATCAATGAGGGTATACCGAGATGCTTTCTTTCTCAACTTCATTGCCTCCTGCCTGTCTTCAGGTACTATCCCATCTCGCAAAAAGGAGACGATTGAATCAGTCCAACTCGGCGTGTCTGGGTTTGTGCTAATCTCCATCACCTGAGGCTTCATGAAGCTTGGTTCATCTAAAATCTCTACAAAAACGGATCTGGAACTTAAAGAGCTGTCAGACGCAAACTTGGAGAGTGAATCTGCCTGTTCATTCTCAGCTCGGGGGATTTTACTCAGACAGAATTTCTGGAATCTGCACTTCAGCTCGGCTACTAAGGCTATATACTTCACCATTATGGGATCAACAACTTCGCAAATTGAGTTAATTTGGTTTACCACCAACTGGGAGTCACTGTATACTTGAATTGCACTGATTTTCAACTCTAATGCTAGCTGTAGCCCAAGTAGCAGAGCTTCATACTCAGCCATATTATTTGTCGCATCAAAGTTGAACTTCAAGGCATGTTCGCTTCGGTATCCTTCTAGACCAATCAAGAGAGCGCCAGCCCTTGAACCCTTGTTACTAGATGCTCCGTCAACATATAAGGTCCAGTCGTTGGGCTCTGGAGTAGAGGTTGAAGGACATGGGGTGCATTCGACAATGAAATTTGCTAGTGCTTGAGCTCGGATTGTGGATCTCTGCTGAAACGTGATCTCAAACTCCCCCAGTTCTACTGCCCACTTGATTAATCTTCCAGAACATTCTGGTTTTTGCAGAATTTGTCGGAGAGGTTGATTTGTGAGAACAATGATTGGGTGTGACTGGAAATATGGCCTCAATTTCCTTGCCGAAGTGACAATTGCTAGTGCTGCTTTCTCCGCTATAGGATATCTCAGCTCCGCTCCGTGTAATACACTGCTGATATAATATATTGGTTTCTGTTGTTTGGCTTCCTTTCTCAACAGAACTGAACTAATGGCCTCTTCTGAAATCCCCAGGTACAAGTAAAGAATCTCTCCATTGACAGCCTTAGTCAGTAGAGGTGGTGAGCTAAGATAAGATTTCAGCTCGTCGAATGCAGCCTGGCACTCCTGACTCCATTCAAATTTCTTTTGTTTTCCTGATTCATCCTTCTGGGCAGCTGGCCTCATGATCTTGAAGAATGGTAGGCACTTATCTGCTGACTTCGATATGAATCGATGAAGGGCTGCCACTCTTCCAGTCAACCTCTGTATATCTTTTATTGATTTCGGTGGTTCCATCTCGGCAATTGCTCTAATTTTTTCTGGATTAACCTCAATCCCTCTTCGGGACACCATGAAACCCAGAAAGTTTCCAGACTCCACACCGAAAATACATTTGGTTGAATTCAACCGCATCCTGTTCTTTCTGAGGTTGTTGAAGGTTTCATCGAGATCGGCTAGATGGTCTTCTGCTTTTCGGCTCTTTACTACGATGTCATCGACATACACCTCCAGATTCTTGCCGATCTGAGCTCGGAAGACGATGGTCACCATTTTCTGATAAGTAGCACCAGCGTTCTTTAAGCCAAACGGCATCATGACATAACAATAAATTTCATCGCCAGCATAGAACGAGGTTTTCTCTTCATCTTCGGGAGCCATTGGCACCTGGTGATACCCAAAATATGCATCCAAGAGGCTTAACCTCTCATTGCCTGAAGCCGCTTCAACTAATTTGTCAATGCTCGGCATCGGATAGCAATCCTTGGGGTAGGCGTGGTTAAGATTTGTATAATCAATGCACATTCGCCATTTATCATTTGCCTTCTTCACCAGGATTGGGTTAGCCACCCATTCACAGTAATCAACTTTCCTGACAAAACCAGCCTGTAGGAGCTTCTCCACCTCTTCTTTAATAGCCTGAAGCCTCTCACCCCCGAAGAGACGCTACTTCTGGGCCACTGGTTTCTTCAATGGGTTGGTACTGAGCTTATGTTGACATACTGAATTTGGAATTCCTGGCATATCTGTCGAAGTCCATGCGAATACATCATTATTGGCTCGGAGAAAAGCTATTAACTCTGCCTTTTCCTCTAGGTTCAATCTAGTTCCAATCTGTGTCTTTCGGCTTGGATCTTTGTCATCAACGAGCACTTCTTCAACATCTTCGACTGGAGCAGCTCTGGCTTCATCGTTCGGTCGATTATCGACGATCTCTACACCCATAACTTGTTGAGTATCAGGAATTCGTTGGGGAATGGCCTCGGGTGTTTGATCTTTGCCCTTCGTTGGTTGTGTTACTGAGGTGATATATCAATGTCTGGCCACCTCTTAGTTTCCTCGCAGTGTTGCTATTCCCATAGGAGTTGGGAACTTCATGCAAAGGTGAGATTGGGAAACCACAGCTCGGATTTCAGTCAATGTAGGTCGGCCAATGACAATGTTGAAAGAGGACGCCATCTTGACGACGAGGAACTGGACTGAAGGGGTTACATAGGTTTGGCCACTCCCAAAAGCCACATGGAGGGTAAGAACTCCTTCTACCGGAACATGTTGGTTGTTGAAACCATAGATAGGACCGTCATATTTCTGCAATAATGCTGGATCTAGTCCCAGACTCTCGAAACAGTGGAAGTACATGATGTCTAGTGCACTCCCAGTGTCAACAAGGACACGTTGTACTTCACAGTTTTTGATCATGACAGTAGTGACCAGAGGATCATTGTGGGGTGTAACAACTGTGTCGAGGTCAACAGATGTGAAAGTAATGGGTTGATTCTTCCACTCAGCATCGTCAATCTTCCGCTTCTGAGCTCGGTTTTTATGTTTAACCTCTCTAACATACAGCTTTCGCTGCTTAGAGCTTAGTCCACTTGCTTCAAGGCCTTCTGTAATCATGTGTATGATTCTAGCTGGTGGTGGGAGCGGAGGTGGGGCTTGCTGATATCCCACACCTTGCCTATTTGGGGGATTACGGACTCCTTGAGGCTGTGGCCTCTGTTCTCTGACAAACCTCGGCTGTTCAGCTCTCTGAACATACTCATTCAGCATTCCCTTCTGAGCTAAACTTTCCAGTTCGGACTTTAAACTGTTACACTGCTCTGTAGTATGGCCGTGATCTTGGTGAAAATCACAATATCTGGTATGGTCTCGACTAGCAGCAGCAGTTCGCATTGGGCCGGGACGTCTCAAGTCCATTTTGTTCTTAATTTGCATAAAAATCTGTGACATTGGCAGATTAAAGGGAGTCCAATTAACTGGAGGTTTACCTGCAAATTGTTGTGGGGGTGTGGAGTTCGGCCTTCCGAATCTCGGTGAGGAGGTCAACACTAGACCTCGGTTCTGCGCCATCCTCATCCTTTTCCGGCTTGGATTGTCATCTCTCCACTCTGGGTTCTGGTTCTTAGTGGGAGTCGGATTTTGCGCCAAGGCATACTCCTCGGCGGTTATAAACTTCAGAGACCTATCGTTCACCTCGCTGAAGGTGGTGGCAGCATGTTTGATCAAACTGTCTCTGAACCTGTCATGCTTAAGACCGGAGATTACAGCTGCAATCCCCA